CAACTGGTCACTTGGCAACTTCACTTTTTTATCATGATGCCTCATTAGTAAAGACAATGCTAAGCCCGCAGCAGGAGGTATGGAGTAGTAATGATACCTGCCCTCTAATCCTAGCAGATCTGATTTTGGTATAAAATCTGAAGGCAACAATAGTGAAGGCTAGTCTCAGGAGTCCATACCCAGAGATCTTAAGCATAGGACTTCATTAACAGCCTGCAGCTGATCAGTGTACTCTCAAAGAGCTGGGGTCAGGTGGGGTTTTTGCGTTTTGTTTTTGTTTGGTTGGCTTTTGTTTGTCTTGACTTATAGGTTTTCTGGAGGTTTTTGTAAAGGCAAGACAAGCTTAAAATGCCTCTAAAGGAGAAAATAGTGAGTCAAAAGAACAGCTTACTGTTCTAACTTTCAGAGATGAGGGAAAACTCAAACCAGTTCATTACTACACAACAATTGGTTGGTTGCTCGCTCACAGATCACTAAAATCTGCAGGTTTTGTTCAACTCAAACCAGTTCATTACTACACTCAACAATTGGTTGGTTGCTCGCTCACAGATCATCAACCAGCAGACTTATGGGGAAATAAAAATCAACTCCTACCACTTTAGAACCTCTTCTTTGCCCATTATTGCTGTATGTCCACAAATATTATTTTTTAAAAGCCTTGAATATTATACGCCCAAGGTCACACATCCAAGAGGATATTGCCATCCTCCTTTCAAAGAAACGTCAAGAGCTCTGTAAATAGTTCTTGCTCACAACTTGTTATCTAGACTAGCCTCCTTTCCCCCTTCCTTCCCACCTTTCTTTTTAAGTATTTCTTGGGTGAGTGAAATAATACATTGATGTTTCTATTTGTACAATGTAGAGAGGTAATTTGTAAGAATCAGCAAAAAGTGTGGGAGTCATCTGGCTTTTTTCAAAATGCAACCACGGGCCCAGATTTCTTAGTAGGAATTTCAGTAATGTGAGTATTAGTCTGGTGCAAATATCTTCTATTTAAGTTATTTGTGGAGAAGCTCCCTTTTCCCTTTCTTGAAGAGCCTTTGACCAGATTTACTGCATAGCACTGAAATAAACTACCTTTCACGGCTTGGGCCTGAGGCTGTCATAGTCAGGGGAAGGAGGATGAGTGCCTTTAAGATTAGAGAACATTAGAATTGAAAACAGAATGACTATATTCTCAAGGCCAACACATTTTGAAAGGAAAATTAATCTGATTGGTCGCTATGCAAATAGGTACGTTGCTTTCCTTTCATATTGACAAATACATAAGCACCTAATAACTTGGGATGTTTAAGTTACAGAAGATACAGACTTCCCATATGTTTTATGTTCTAATTTTCATTGAGTGGCTTTAACATCAGAATATGGTGTTCATAATCAACTAGAAGAAGATAGCAGAAAAGATTTCAAGCAAGTTTTACATGCTTTAAAAATTGTCTTTGACATGACATGGTTCAGGCTTCCATCTGACTGAAAAACAAATTCAAGAGGAAGAATGTGACTTCATCACAATCAAATAGTGATACACTGGTTTCGTCTTCTTGCACAATGTCTGATGGCCTGGAAAGCGATATATTGTTATTAGAAGCCTTTTGTGTGCCACACAACTTACTATACAATCATTCAGAATACCTTTCTAAGGAGAAACTAAGTCCACATGTGAAGAGCATTTTGTGTCAATGAACTGACTTGCTCTTCAAACTTTAAATTTAAAACAGTTCTGCAGCAAATTTTGAAACAGACAACAGAAGTACTGCTTGATGGCAGCGGTTTTCTTAAGCTACTCTAATTTACTTACCAGGAAGATTATGCCACTTGTTTACAGCAAATAGCCTATTTGCAGTAACTGTGATCACAGCAGGAGTGGCCAGACCAGGCTGGGTGTTGGCTGCTACGTGAGTGACAGGGGAGTTGGATGGGAACTTTAGAACCATGATAACGTCCTGTTGAGATTGGTCTGTGAACATCAACGGACTCTGCAGGAGGAGATACTGTTGAGTGCACACAACAAGAACCCAAATACATGGGAAAAGAAAACACAGGGAGGAGAAAAGAAGACAGGACAAGAGAAGGAAGATTGGATTAAAACACGTAAGATCCAATAGCAGCTGCAGTGAAAAGTAAATGCAGTAATAGCGGACAGGCTTGTGGAAACAATCATTTTAGGTAGAAAAATGTTCATGTACTGTTAATTTGAGGGCCTTCTTGAATACAGGGTGTCTATATACAAACTTTGCTACAGATCACAGCAGATCAAACACTTTTAGTTTGATCCAATCATCTCTCTCTAGCAAAAGAATTCTCCTTCATATCTGCAGAGATAGTATGTAAAGGAAAGCAACGCCAAACGAGAAGGGAACACCAAAAAAAAAGGAAGTGAGCAAAAGAAATTCCTGCTCCCAGAGATTGTCTCAAGTTGCATTAAATTGGCAGACTGCAATTCTTTACAAGCCAGATGAGAACATGAAAGCACATTAAAATAAACAGATACACACATACACTAGATATATGTTCTGTATATATTTCTGGTGTACGAAAATAAGATTTATGAATGCAAAGTAGAAGACTTCACCGCAAATGTGTTTCAAAGGACAAACATAATTAAATGCAGTTGTAAAGAATATAAAGTGGACGTGATTACAGACACTATCCTGTGTTGTTTCTAGAAATACTAAAGGGAGGGAACTAATCCAGACTCTTATTTTCAACATACTATTTTTAGGGTTTAGTTTTTTAATTTAATAAGTTGAAAAGTTTAATAACTTTTTAACTAAGCTCTCTAACAATACTGCAAATGTCAAAACAAAATACTGAGGACCTCAGATCCGGATATCAAACATAAGGAGGAAAAGCAAAACTTAATGGGTTTGTGATTGTGTGGTGTACCTAAAAAAAGAGAACTCCATTGAGATACAAAAACACAACCATCCTAGTCACCAGTAGCCATATTGCTCTAGTATTTGTTATTTTATAATAACTGAATTAGAACACTAATGAAGTGTTCTTGGCTATTTTCCACCCGTAATATTTCATTACATATATGTGTATGTAAGTGCATACATTTAATGTATATTTATACAGAACTAATAAAAAAATTAAATACATTTGCATTTTTATTATCACTCCTTTTTAAAAAGTTATTAAGAGTACTTAGAAAAACATATTGCTCTATGAATTCCTATTTACAGTCTTTGCATAAAGGTGTAAATAAAAGCAACTAATAAGCTACCCAGACACCCTTCTGAGCAAGTGGCTAAAAGCCAATCAATATTATGAGTTAATCCTCCCTGGATGCTCATTCAATTAAAGGTGTCAGTAATGCCTCATCTGATGTGGCCTCAATTAAATCCAGCTATCTGATGGTTGAAAACACAAGGGGATACAGCAACAGCAGCAAAACCAGACAAATAGTCAGCCTTCGTGTGACTGCTAATTACTACACCTGGTGTATATTATGGCTCGTGCACTTAACACAGCACGTGGTAGCTTTCAGTTCAGCTGTATTCATGCATACATGCACACACACACACACGAAAACAGAAAACTCAGTAAATAATATGACTAGAAATAATTCTAAATTGTAGCAGGAAAAACATCCTTACTGTATTTCCGCTCCAGGAATACTACTTTTAAAACCACTTAATATAGTGCTATTACAAAATCACATATTAATGACCACAAAACTGGTCAAAACAAAGCGGAGAACTCAGGGTTTTTTTCTGTGTGTACCTCTGCCCAAAAAACCCCACAGTTAGAAACAGTTAACTTCACAGAATTTAACTTCTTCCATTACATACTAAATCTTTATAAATTCAGCGTCATGAAAAATATTATGATAAAACCACACAAACTGCTTCCCGGTATCAAATTTATTTGTATAACAATTGGTCTGACAAACACGTCAGCAATCAACTTCTCGAGTTCCTCCTCTTCCTGAAATAAATCCCTCTAAATCAGGGCAAGTGCCTGGTGCGTGGCATCATGACAGACGGACACACATGGGGCATGGAGCTGTCTGATGAGGGGACTTGGGCTCCCCAAAATCCCTGTTATAGGGCTCTTCTGAAAGGGAGAGCCTGGTGGCTTGCACACACAAGTCACCGCAGCGGTCTGCAGCCCTGGGACACTACGTGGGAGGTGCAACAGGCCAGCAGATCACAAATCAGCACAATCAGCTCTGTCCATCCAGTACATGGGATCCCAAGGAAGGAGCACGTCTACAGCACAGCTGTCAAAGCGTAGTATGTACTGGCTGGAGAAAGGGTGGGGGGCATGGGGGGGGACAGTCAGCTGAGTAAGTCTCATGTACAACACATGACATATTTGAGAAAGGCTAGTAGCTCCATTTGACAAGAAAGTTTACATTTCTTAGACCCTACATCACAAAATCTGTAAGCTGCTTTGGCAACATTTCAGATTTTTCTGTAATTTTTCTAAAGTCTTTTGCGCTTCAGAGATGTTTTTCATCTAATAACCTTGTCTGCTTGAGTAGGACATGCGTCTTGCAGAACGTACAAGAAAAACATGTCTTCTTTTGCATTTCAGTGTAAAACGTCCATCTTAACAATAAGGGAATGTAACCTTTTGAAAAACTTGTGAATTAGCAGACCATTTGCTCCACTTGTCAGAGTATCACTTAACATATTTAGTTCTGGATCTATGACAACACAAATGATATTTTAGACCCAAGGACTGCACACAACACGATATGGAAAGTAATCAGCAATAAAATAATAGTTTGTATAATAAAATTATATTAGACACAAGTAGAGGTAAAAGGGAAAGCATGTTAATGCTCACTGCCTGGATTTTATCACCCTGGCTTTACTGCAAAACACATTTAGTCACATTCTTTGCAATGTAAGTTTCAGCTCATGAATTCCTCGTAATCCCGGTTTTAGGGGAAAACCTATGCCTGGGGGAAAAGACAAGGAAGTTCCACCTCCTAAATCCATGCTTCTTGGGGAATCTGCCAAAGACTAACTAAATTGTCTCCATGATGACTGGCTCTCACCTGTACAGGTACAGTATTAACAAAATCAACTGATGAAGTGTTCTTAGATTACACTGACAAAAAAAAGGGTCTGTACTAGAAATCAATACAATCCTCTCAGCAATAAATAAAATAATAGCTCTGCACTGCGTACACTCCGTCCTACAGAATCGTAACTCATCTGCTGTTTTTAATAACACAATTCCATGACTACATAAAATCAAAGCGAAGCAGTCGGTTCTGTAACTTTAAGACAGCAAAGGAAGTGAACGAACAGCAGGTCACAAAGAGTTAACACGGTACTTACCACCTGCATGGCTGAACTTCTTGGAGGATGTGGTTCTATGAGCAGTTGGGAAGGGGTCTGTCCAAAACTTCGTATTTGAGCTTCGACAGCCTGGAAAAGGCACAGGCAGGTTTGCATGTTAAGAGGTGCTAATTACAGGCAATAGAACCATAACTGTCACCTGAAAATGTCATTCCACACTTCTGGCTTGTTTCATGTTGAAAATCAACCCCGTGTGTTCACTGTGGGGCTAAGTGCTTGGCACTGGTACTAAGAATGAGGTAATCATTTTAGTACTGTGGATGCTATTTCCATGAGAAACTCTGCAAAACCTCATCCTGCTCAATGATATTAAACAGAAACAAGCTATTATAATCAGAAACCCTCTTTATTGGCTCCATTTTTCCTTTCTAACACTGGCTTATCCTGTTTGTATCATAACTCAGAAACAAAAGTTAATTTTTTAAAAGTTTCTAAAGGTATTAAGAATGTTCTACTTTCTGTTTAAATGCCATCACTTAGTTTCACAGCAATAACTACAATGAAAGTGACACTGAGCTTTTTTCCTATTTCATTTTTATTCAAAAAGAGCAAACAACTTTAGGACGCATTCAACTACTGAGAGCAAGACTGATCCTAAATGCAGCTAAAGGAGAACGGGAAGACAAAACGCAACAAATTTTTTAAAAAAGTTTCTCTGTATCTTCAGCAACATGCTTTATCTCTTTCTTCATCAGGCATATATGAGAATACCATCTCATGCTCAATGATTTCTTAAAAAAAATTATTCTGAAATGTGTGAACTTATCCCTCTCGCCTAGGCACATCCAAATAGTTTTCCATGTTGCCATCTATTGGCCCACTGGCTTAGAGATAAAAATCAAGCAGCCAAAATTAAACAAGTTATTTCTTGTTGGCCAGGCCCCTGCACTATCCACAGAAACAGGCTAATACTACAGAAAATCTGAAATCATTCATCTTAGATTAAACCTCTTTCGCTGTGAGCTAAACTAAGTAAAATTACCTTGCACTTGCTGTGGGCTAACAGGTTGCATATGGGCCAGTACTTTAGCTTCTCTGCTGCATGGTGCATTGAGCCCCACATTCTCAAAAGCTCTAGGGATGCTGAGCACCTAAGGCGAGGCTAATTAGCAAGTCCTACCTTCAAAAGAAGTCCTGAAAATCAGGCCCTTCAAAAAAGTGGTTTAAATAGGACGCTTGAATGCTAAAACACAAAACCACTAGCCACTTTTCAGCTATTAGAACACCATGTTTTTCTCTCAGAGATTCTTCTTTTTCATGGTTCAGTGTACCTTGAGGCTCCTTACACTTATATTTCATGTTCTATTCTAGCCACCCATTATAATTTTTGAGACAATGGAATAACATTTATGCTGATCTTATTCTTACAAACAACTGATTTTAGATAGTAATAAAGACTATTATCAGGACACACAATGTTCTCCTGTTACAGAAATAACAAAAACAAAAGTAGAATGCACCTGAGGCTGTAAGATCATCAAAAATAATCATCCTTTGATAGGAAACATGCTATCCAAAACACTTGGCCTTATTACATTTGGCAGAGCTTTTGAAACATCTGAACTCACCAGAATAGGAGCTGCAATTGCTCTACGGACAGATTCTAACCCTCTTGCCCACTCTGAGAAGCACTTTAATCTTCAAAGAATTGGGGAATAAGTAAATTTATCAAAAAGCTGGCTGAAATCAGACGCACAAACACTGTGATTCAATGAGTACTTTTCGAGGAACAGCAATATCAGATTCGCAAAACACTAAAGCTCAGTAAGACCATCAGAGTCCCCCTCCTAGTGATGAGACACGCTGCATTAAAATTCAAATCTGGGTTTTTGTGACTTGAGATATCAAGGGAATCGCAAGGGCGTAGAATTTGAGGTCCCTTTAGACATGAGGCATTAACAAAGCAACAGCATACCGGTCAGCAGCTCTACCCTCTCCATAAAAAGCTGTTAGTTTCGAAACATCCAGATTAAAAAGATTTGCCTACATTTACTTGCAGATTGAGTGGAATATTTTTACTAGCAAATGGGAATTCTGCCTTGCATTGAGGGGAGAACCAGAATAACACAGGAAGAGTAGAACACAGTTCTGGATGTCAGTAACTCTGTGCTTGTTAAAATCTTTAGGGTAAATCTACAGTCTCTAGGATCTCCTGTTTATTTCCTATAAAATATATATATCCAATATATTATTCAAAATGAATAAAATACTCTTGAAGCACAACTCCCATGTGTTTCTTTTAGAGCTAAAAATAGAATAGATGAAATGAGGAAATAATAAGCTTCAGATTTGTTAACTTCCTTATATATTGACTTATGATCAATATAGAAACTTCCATTCCTAAATAGCCCCCATTTGGCATTTAAAGGGAGTCAGAATTTTGTCTTACCCATGAAGTCTGGTATATCCTTTAATTCTCAATGCTACCTCCACAAACTATACTCTCTTGCATAGTGCCAGTACTACAAAAGGGAAAATTAAACACAAGACACTACATATTGATGCAGAGTGTTTCAAATACTTCAAGTATACTCATCATAACAAGAGCTCAAACTGACGTAGAACAAAAATCAGATGGATGCTATAATTGCTTTAATCAATGAAAGATCAGCAGTCAGAACGCTATTTTCCACTCTCCAGATCTCAGAAGAACTCACCACTTTCCAGCAACATAAAAACTGCAAGAGACACAGTTGTGACTCCATTGCTTACTCACATACATGATGCTCATCATTATCACACTCCTAGACCACACAGCAGTGGCAGCACCGCTATTTGTCTCCCACCCACCACCAGTGCAGAAAAGAATCCCTCTGGGATATTAAAAACTAAAAAAAGTATAAAACATTCTACTCAACCAGCAAGTAGATAGTCACTGCCTGTTTTCACATCGTGTTCTGTCAGAACTGGCCAAACTGCTGACTAATGGGCCAACGATTTTGCCAAAGCCTGCCTTAGAGGACCACAAATTCTCCATTTTCAGCCTTTAACAGACAGTTTCTACATCCATGGTTATGATCTAGATTGAGTTTGGGATTTACAGTTCCGGCACAAACAAGTCTTTTAGACTCATTAAGTTCATTCTGGTTCTTCCAAAAAATATGAGGGTCTACATTTCTAGGATTACAATAACTTCCTGACACAATCTTTCCCTTGTAGCCACCAGAACTGGGGGGGGGGAATAAAAAAAATCTACATTCAGATCACGTCCTACCACAGGTAACAAGGTTTCATAAAACATCAAAATTGTACATAGCGTAAAGGCATAGATATTGGTATCTGTATGTCCTCTTTACTGATGTCTGGACTTCAGCATAAAAACCTTTTGCATTCCTTTTAATTACCAAGAAAAAGTAAACCTTCTTTATTTAGCTTGAATATTTCTTAATTATGACGAAGAGAGTGTACTAGCAACTCCAAATGGTTCCTTTCTTTTCCCAGATTGTATTCAAAGTCAATCCAGATGTCAGCTCCATGTTCTTATGATGTCTCAGTCAGAAGGATCACATACAGAGGATGCAAGATGACCTCCCTCTGTCAGCAGAAACATGTGATGTTGGAGCTAGAATCAATCCCCATCCTTTCAATTTACATAACAATAGAAAGAGACATACAGGGCATTTTAGCCACCAGATGTCACTCAGACTTTTGTTCAACCTGTCAAAGAAAATCAGCTAGGAGCAGGGAACCTTTTCCTCAGAGAGATAATTAATATCTCCTTTGAAGATAACAACCTACCACTTACCTGAGAATAGGCAGTAAAATGACCATCAGTCAAAAAGTTATCAACTCACTTTCTAACAAATTGCAGCCCAGCTTCTAACTTCATTTTCTTGAACAATGTATTACTAGCATTAGTCGGTATTACTAAGAGATGACCAGCTTCTTCTAGTGGCAGAGGAAGGGCATGTGTTCTCACACTGCTGAATCCTTCTGGAGCATACAACAATTTAGATTATTGTAGGTACAAATATTTGGGAAATTTACACATCTATTAAAGGCACTATATAACTGGAAAGGAATAACCTTTGTTTGAAAGATATCTTTAGTTCCACAAACTCTTATCTCAAAGCATGCTGTCTACCACAAAGTAAAAGATAACATAATTCAACATTTTGTTTCACTGCTTCTCAAATATCTCAGTAAAATAGCCTTCTTCCTGTTAATCCTCTGCAAAAAACCAAAACCTTGGTAAGGTCAGAATTGTTCCAGATGCTACAAGAAGTAATAATAAAATGAAACAAGGTAACTAACCCTTTACAATAATCCACACAGTACGCGTCTCGAACCACATACTTGCATGATAAACATGGTATTTCGAATGTTAATTAATTTGTAAGTACGAAAGTTATAACCAAATTTCACAAGTTAACATTTATCTGATTACCATAAAAATCTATTCCTAAAAATGTCTCCTGGATCACCTCCGCTTTTCTTTGGAGGTAGGAAGGGCAGAAGGGGAAGAGTGAAGTACATTTTAAGAGGAAGAGTGAAAAACTCGAAAACTTGGCTTAGCTATAATATAGCTTTTGGCCACTGCTTAGTACAGATATTTTCAGTCTCTGAATTTACCCTCTAATCTAACTGTGAAGAAAGTTAATTCAACAGTACGCAGTATCCACCAAATACGGCTGTAAATTTTTTGGGGGAAGGAGGGTGATGGGGAGGTTGAACATATGGATGCAGTTAAGGTAAAAACAGATGTTTGTTACTTTTCTTTGCAGCAACACTCAGAAACGAAGTCAAAATTGCTTTTTTTTTCATGTTTATGTCTGAAAGAACTATAAAATTAAATATGAGGGAGGGCGGGTGGAGGGGGAACTGCAGTGAGTGTCACAGAGAAAGAATGAAACGGTCTCCAGTTTTGAACTCGAATCCCGAAATGAAGGCCCATATAGTTAAAAGGCAAGACATACACCATTTAACTCTAGATTTAAAGACCCTTAAAGAGGCTAACTCGGAGCTGCTTTCGTCATGCCTTCTCAGACACAAACCACCAAACTGTCTGAAGAGACGAAGGGCACGGCACACTCCTGTCAAAACGTGCACCGCGGCCTGAACGCACCGCA